ACATATATATATATATATATATATATATATATATATATATATATATATATATATACACACACATTTTTCTGGTGATTAACTTTGTTGGGTGAAATTAAACACTGCTGTAAATAATCTGTACAACAGTTAAAGAGATTCTCTAAAATAAGTAATTCCTGTTAAGGAAATCTTACAGCTAAATAATTTCAAGCCTGTTAAAATTATGATTTGTTTAAATAAAATTTCTGGTTCCAAGATTAAAGAAGATTTTTTTTATTACTCTTCTAATGTTTAGAGCTCTTTAAGTTGCTTCATGTGAGCTGGATCAGTGACAGTGATTCCTTTGACGTCTTTACCCCGGTTCCTGAGGACCGCGGCTCCTGATTCTGGGCGCTGACAAGCGCAGAGTGTTTTCATATTGAGACGCCTTGGAGGAAGGATGCTTGGTTTTCCTGAAGGAACATGTTGCTTCCTCGTCAACCTGTTTCCTACAGGAAATTGAGAGGTTTTTTTTAATGTTGTGTGTCTCAAACAAAAAGGCCCTGAAGGAGGAAGATGGAAGCAGACAGAACAATGAACTGTAACTCCTCATTTAATGCTGGAGGTATAAGTGAGAAACCATCTGAGCCCATCAGGGAGGATTATATAAGGATACATTATATAGAAATACTAACCTATTGTTTTACTGAACATGAAAACCAAAGATTAATATAAATCCAAATAAAATGAACGGGCAGTCTATTGTATCTGTCACCAAACAAGACAAGCGCAAATGGGGAAAATTAATCTGCTAATAATTTAACAGATGGTTGATTCTCACTGACTCATAAATATTTGTGATATTTTCTCCAAAAAAAAAAAGAAGAGCTAATTTTTTACCTGCCATTTACCAGACTAAATGCTATAGAGCAATCTTATTTTCACTCAAATTCATTTGCCTTAACTTATTGGTATTTTTCTTATTTTATTACTATAATTATTAGGAAAAACTGTTTCCTTTAAACCGTTTTCACTTGATGGTCTGGTATTATTTTATTTTTTTGGAAAAACATGTTGGGTTTGTATATTTAAAAAACATCTTGGTAAATTTGTTTTTTGTATTTTATCAGTGTAAATAAATGCAGTTTCTTATTTCTCTATAAATAACTTTAACATTAACATTATTTTATTTTTTAATTATTTAAATTAGAAGAAAAAAATGCTTTTCACCAGGTCTCTTTTAAATCTCCCATCATTTCCGAAGGCCTAATTTATAGAAGCACTAGTTTCTGAAGATGTTAAGGTGTCTAATTTGGTCAAAAAAATCAGACCACAGACATGACAGTCTTTCTAAGTGGTGGCTTTTTGGCTTTTAGAAAAACTCAAATAAATTTAGAACAACATTGTGCTATTCTATAACGGTCACCTTTTAGCTCAAGCAGAGGGGAAAAATAAAATCAGAAAACAAAAACAACAACACACGACTAGTGCTTTGTTGCATCACCTCTGGCTTTTCTAACAGCTTGCCTTCTCAGAGGCATGGAGTTAATAAGTAACTAAGTCTTCAACAGTTTGACTCCAACTTTGTCTGATGCTTTTGCCAAATCACCTTTGCAGGTTGGGACTTTAAAGGAACCATTATCTTCAACTTTCATCCAGAATTATCAACTGAATTTAAATCCAAACTATTTACAGGGTGCATCCTTCTTCAAGGAATGTTCTCACAGTTGTCCCTCTATGAAAGGGTTCTTTGAATCCAGTCCTCCAGGTCCAGTGTCCTGCACCCTTTAGATGTGTCTCAGCTTGACCACAACTGAGTCAAATAATTTCTGCAGTCATCTTAATAAATCTGATTGGAATGGCCCCAAACAGAGGTTCCAGCACCCTCCAATACAGATTCATGATTCACAGCTCCTTATGGCTTTCATCCAGTTATCCACAGTCCATGATTGTTTTTCCTTAGCCTGACCCAAATAAGGTAAGGAAATCTGTGAATAAGGGAAGCTGTGAATCTCTGTCGCTCCTCCAGAGTTACTCTCAACCTATTGGCTTTTTGTCAGATTGTTTTCTTCTGTTCTGGTGTTAATAACAGCTTACATTTAGCTTTTCTAGGTGCAAAATCTATTTCCTGTAGGCAGTTTCTAACAGGTCAGTCATAAACGTTTTCTCGAATTTGTTGTGCATGTTCTGTTTTTAAGGCATTTTACTCTGTTTTGATGTCTTCCATTGTCTATATTACCCATAAGCTTTTTTCTAACAACCTTCCCATGTTGTTTGTAATTGGTCCAGATTTCTGACGCAACCGAATGTACAGTCATGGCCAAAAGTATTGAGATTGACACAAATATTATATTTTCACATGATCTGCTGGCCTCTGGTTTTCATGTGTGTATGTCAGATGATCACATACAGAAATACAATTGCAATCATATTATGAATAACAAAAGCTTTTAATGACAGAATGAGTTAATGCAGCAAGTCAGTATTTGCAGTGTTGACCCCTCTTCTTCAGGACCTCTGCAATTCTCCCTGGCATTCTCTCCTTCAACTTCTGGACCAAATCCTGACTGATAGCCGTCCATTCTTGCACAATCAATGCTTTCATTTTGTTAGAATTCCTATGTTTTCGTTTGTCCATCCACCTCTTGATGATTGACTACAAGTTTTCAATGGGATTAAGATCAGGGGAGTTTCCAGGTAGCCCGATCCTGCGGCAGAAACACTTTTAAGAGATGGTCCTGGCACTTGCTGGTCGTTTTTGGGAGCCCTGGAGGCTTTTTGGACACAATGGAACCTCTCTCCTTGAAGTTCTTGATGATGCGATAGATTGTTGACTGAGGTGCAATCTTTCTAGCTATGATTTTCTTTCCTGTTAGACCATTTTTGTGCAGTGCAATGATGACTGCACTTGTTCCTTTAGAGATAACCATGGTTCACAGAAGAGAAACAATGATGCCAAGCACCAGCCTCTTTTTAAAGTGTCCAGTGGTGTCATTCTTACTTAATCATGACAGATTGATCTCCAGCCCTGTTCTCATCACCAACCACACCTATGTTAATGGAGCAATCACTGAAACGATGTTAGCTGGTCCTTTTAAGGCAGGGCAGCAATGACGTTAAAATGTGTTTTGGGGGATAAAGTTAATTTTCTAGGCAAATATTGACTTTGCAATTAAATGCTGTTACACTGATCACTCTTTATAACATTCTGGAGTATATGCATTTTGCTGTTATAAAAACTGAAACAGTAGACTTTGTAAATATTAACATTTGAATGATTCTCAAATCTTTTGGCCATGACTGTACAAAAAAACCCACAATCTTTTGGAACATTGTGTGATGATTTACTTTCTGCTGTGTTGGTACAAACCGCTCTCCAAGGTTTGATCCCTTTGTTTTAACTGCAGAATAGCCAGCAGATCTAATCTGATGCAGTTTCAGGGTGATTCCATATTTGTTTCTCTCTACATGAGCTGATAAAGTGGCTGTTACTCACAACCACAACATTTGTTTTGCTTGATTTCTTTAAGTGTTTCTTAAGACAGTTTTTTTTTTTTTTTTTTTTTTATACATTGGGCACTTGATTTTACGTTATTAGATCATGTTCCACTCACCCATATTAGTTTTGTGTCATCTGCAGCTGTTCCTAAGATATTTGGCTTTGTTATATCCAATAACGTCTTCCTATGGGCAACGAGTTGAAGGCACAAACTAAACTGTTCATAATTTATCATTTATGGTACGCCAGCATTCATAACATGTAGGCGAATCACTGTCGCAGTTATATTTTTATATTTATATAAGAGTTTGGTGATTCCATGACTTTTTTTCCCAAAGGGTTGTAGAATGAGAAATATTAGTAAAAACTATTTATATTCCATTGGAGCTCCAAAGTATGACAATAATTTGGACCTTTTTAGCTGTAGGGGATACTAGCATTAAGAGTTTATTGTTTATTTTGTGGGTAATACTGGTTCATGGCACAAGATGGATTGAGGAATGAAGAAGGAAAACTAGCATGATATTCTTCAGCTTTTACTTACACTGCTGTTTACTTTTCTTAAAATAAGACCATTTTTTTCTTGAATTAAGCAGTTAAGTGAAATTTAGAGAACGTTAAAATAAGAAAAAACAAATGCAGCCTCTTACTTCAAGTGCATAATATCTAATTATCTTATTTTATACTTATTTTAAAAGTAAAAATGGTCATTCCACCATTATTTACCTGCTCAAATTAAGGGTAAATAGACTTAATTTAAGACATTTTTACTAATTTATAGATCGTTTTTGCAGTGTAAAGGTATAGTGGAGGATGTTCTCTTTCAGGGTAGATTATCAAAATAAGTGTTCCTTAATTGTTTCTCACATGCTTTTAATAGTCGTTCCCTTTAGGGAACAGAGTGGTGCAGGTGGATCTTTTCACTATACGTTTAAAAAAAAGCCTACAAGAGATAAATACATCAAGCCTTTTTGAAAGACTGGTTTAGCAAAACATCTATTGGAAAAATAAATTTGGTAAAAAAAACATTTCAACAAATAATGGCAGGAGCTCATATGTGTATTTGAACTATATGAAGCTTTCTGAACCTGTGTGGATCAGAAAAAAATTCATTATAATCTAGTCGAGTGGGTGTAAAACTATGTGCACTGTAGACCAGGCATAATTTCTAACATCCGTCTTTGAAACACAACCATGAAAATAATTCTCATAAAATGAACAGAGGAGGAAAAAAACTGTCTGGTGGCTCCTTTTATCTCATGCTACAGTATAATTATGATTATCAGGAACCCTTCCTGTGAGGGCCGCTGATTGAATTACACTAAATACTGCTGAGGCGGACGGCTAACAACAAACTCTACCTACAATCCTCCTTTATCACCATCTGATTGGTCCTGAGAGCTCTCAGGGGAGATCCCCTCAGATCTGGCGTCTGTCCTAAACAACACTTTGCAGCCTCTTATATCCACTTTATGAAAACTCCCACACAAATATGTTGATTCATCACTGCATTGAAAGCAAAACACAATCATTCTTCCCTCTCAAAGCCTTTTCAGCCACTCATCAATAATGTTGCAGGTGCTGCTCTTGCCTCCGGGGGTCCTCCCTTGCTGAGAAGTCTCTTTTGTGCTGGGCCAGGTATTGGATTCTTGAACTGGGAGTAGCTCTGAGTGCAGAAAATGAGATAGGCCGTATCGGCTCCTGGTTGCCCCACCTCAGCTTCTCACTGATCGAAAAGGGAAGAAAAAGTTTCCTAAGTAAAACAAAATACACCACAGAGGGAAGAGCACTGCCATTTAAGATGTAAAAGTGTGGTTAGATAGTTTGCAGAAAACGTATTTCAGAGAGTATGTATCAAAAACCACAGTGACTTTAGCTTTTTCTTGGATGCGTTTTAAGGTTAGAACATTTTTAAGCTGTAAAGCAGATCAGCAGAGGTAACTGTGGGGCTTTCCACAGTCTCCTGAAAGAAAAGCCTCAGATGCTCACCAAGGAGTCGTCGCCCAGATTGTTTTTGAGGTTTTATGCTGTGCCAGCTCCAAGATTCTGCCAAATCACACAACATCCACAAGACATGAATCAACATTAATACGAGGCTCTATAGGTGACTTTAGGGTGAAATCAAGCATCCAGTTACAACCTTAACCACATAAGTCATTAAAAACTTATAGATGCATGAACAATAACATAACAGCACCTCTTGGAGGGACCAAATCTCGGCCGGACACCTGCTGGTTCAAATACATTAGAGTTATTAAAATGCAAACATTTAGAAGATGTAGGAGAGAAACCATAAACTCACCTTGTTTTCCAGACACCATCCTCATCGCCTCGGCTGGATGAGTCAGCCTGATGCCCGTTAAGGGTGTAACAGTAATCTGCTGCTGTTGCTGTGGAGTCATGAGTCCATAGCAACCATCTGATGAGTCCATGAAACAGGAGTCAGCTCAGTTAACACAACTACCTTAACGTCTCAAGGATGTTGAAAGTGATACAAACGGGTCAGCACAGAGGAGTGGTTTATTACCCGTTACTTTACGAAGATTGTCTTAAACATGAGTAAATATCTGGATCTACTGAACCTTTTCTGACATTTATTTGACCAATAAACGATGAAACTCAATGAAAAACCAAAAAGAGTTCCACCACTGAGGCTACATTAGTATGAACAACCTTGTCATGTTCTTCCGTCAATACGACGAGGGCCATCTATTCATCCTATGGTTGGGGAAGTTGGGGTCAAAGGGGATGAGATGGAAGGATGATATATGACTTGCCCCATGACTTTGTTTAAAGTGAGGAAGAGTTTCGCAAGTCGACATCACTCTCTCGTCTGAGACCATCTAGATCAAGTGGCAAGACAGGTCAAGATGACTGGAGACAGGAATGGATGCAGTGTCCTGTCACGCGTCTTGTCCTGCCACACCCTATGCGCTCCACGACGCATTGCTGGCAATCGCCTTTCAGGCCGTTGATCACAAGAAGTACTTCCTGGGCGATGTCCGCCAAATTCAGACTTCACAACAGTTGGAGGTCAAGAATGAGCAACTACCACATATCATTCGGTATGCTCACAGGGTGAAACAGGAGTCACACCTAGAAGCCAATTAACCTAACAGTCATGTTTTAGGACTGTGGGAGGAAGCCAGAACACCCGGAGAGAACTCCATGCAGAAAGACCCCAGGCCAGGAATCAAACCCAGAATCTTTTTGCTGCAAGGCAGCAGTGCTAACCACTGCGGCACTGAGCAGCCAAGTACAACTTTGTACAGCATAGGTACCTACAGAGAAGAACTGTTTGCCTGTATGCACATTTTTTTCTTAGCTTTTAGTCAGACCTAAATGGGTTTAAACAGTAGTTACAAAGGATTGCTCCTCCTTGGTTTACACAAAGGTTTTAATGCCACCACCAACCAACTGAATAATGAAAATGAATGAGCACAACAACCGTATTTTCCCCAAAAAAAATCACTGCAGACATACTGGAGTTTACTAAAGCCCTTACTCATAAACATAAGCACACTTACACATACATCACGTTTTAATTAAAGGTATATTTGATCTTTTGGCTTCAAGTTCTACATTGTTTGTCTCACATGCCAATCTTTGTGACACGCTTATCTTATGCCAATGCGAATGCTCTTGCTGTGTGTGTTTACTTCTAATATTTATGCATTCAGTTGGCTTCAGTTTCAGCCATCATTGTAGCCCCACTGCTTCTATTTATTCTTTGAAAATTGCACAGAATTGCATAAAGTAGTAGTAAAGTTAGCTAGCGTAAATGATCTACATTCGGAAATAAAATAATCCATTATACTTTTAATCAGTTATACTTTTATAAACAGATACATTAAGCAGGTTCAATTCAATTAAGTTTTTTTTTTTATATATAGCACCAGTTCACAACATATGTCATTTTAAAGCAGTTTACAAAGACAAAACAACCAGATCATACAGCCAAATTGATTTCAAGTTTTCTATCTAAGGAAAACCAGCTAATTGCATTGGCTCATTGACTCTTCAGCAATCCCTCACACAGAGCGTGCTTATAGTGACAGTGGGGAGGAAAACTCCCTTTTAACAGGAAGAAACCTTCAGCAGAACCAGGCTCAGTGTGAGCGGTCATCTGAAGGGGGCCGACTTGGGTTCAAGGTGACAGAAGCAAACAGAAAAAGAAGCAGATATACAAAAGGCAACTGTCACCAAGCTCCAAAGGCGGCCCCATCCAGGAAATGCACAGCCTGACAGATGAGCTCCGAACCAGCTCCCATGTGAGAGGATGAAAGAGAGCACATCCAGACAGTCACAGAGAAACAGGACTGAAAAAAACAGGCCGAGCTCCAACATCTATAAACAAAAAGCATTGATGGCAGCAGCAGACAAGATGAAGCTACTTTGAAAAAAAGCAGAGAGAGGATAAAGTTAGAGATTGATCTAACAGATTTTGCAGAGTGGGAGAATAGAGATAGAATGATCAAAAGGGGTCCCTATGTCCTCCAGCAGTCTAAGGCTATAGCAGCATAACTAAAGAGATAGCTCTGGATAACCTGAGACACTCTAACTATAAGCTTTATCAATAAGGATTCTTTTTTCCCCCAGCATTTTATTGTCATTACACCCGCACAAGTACAGAGCAACGGAATCTCTGTATTTAAGCCGTCCCCTTGGGGAGCGGTGGGCTGCCATGGTGCGGTGCCCGGGGAGCAGTGTGGGGTTAAGGGACCCAGAGTGGCAATCCATGAACTCAGAACCTCTGGATTCAAAGCATAATGCCCTAACCACTAGGCCTGCCTCACAGACTATAACTGGGTTTAGTTATTTATCACTAATTACTAAAGACTCACTTCACTATTCTAAAAAGAGCAGGAATGCATTGTCATTTTTAATGTTAGCATATTAATGTGGAAAAACTAATTACTGCTATTATTACATTTTAGTCAATAGTCAGACCACATTGGAGATTCCACTAGAGTATCACTGCTGCCACCCTCTGGTTTAGAAGGGAACTGCTTGTTCCAGAGCTGGTGAGGTATATCTGGCTACTCCTCACCACTTTTCAAAGCGACCGCTGACACACTTCCTCTTTGGCTCAAGAATCCAAATACAACACATCGGTATATTTAGACTTAGCCTCACTGTTGACAATTCTATGAATTCAAATGGAGCCCCAGGTACGCTGTGTTGAAGCCCTTTAATATAAGCTGGCCCTGTTTTACCACTGAGCCAACATTTTGAGGTCATTCTTTAAATGAGAAAAGAATTTCTAAATCCATAACATCATCTAAAGGAGTAAAGTCCAAAAACACACAAAAAGGTTTGTAGAAACAGTTTATTTTCAAGAGTAAAAAAAGATGCCTTTCAAACATTTTTTTCCCTTTAGTGTAGCTCAGATTTTGAAACAGTAAATCACATGGGTAAATTACAAACAACATCCACCTTTCTCAAAATTTTAAAAACAAACTCCCTTAAAGCTTTGGTGAAAATAAACATTTCAACAGTATTTTATACAATTTAGTCCCCTAGTAAAAAAAAACAAACTCTTAAAGTATGTAACAATGCTGCCATGAATAGATGAGATAAAGCAAAACCTTTTAATGTCCTCCCCGAACTATAAATAAGAAAGCTAACAGTCAACAGTTAAGACAAACAGTAAAACAGAAAGTTGGAGCTGTTTTGCTCTGTAACGGATTTATTACAAGTGAGGATAAACGCTGGGTTATTTCTAAACCGCCCTAAACCTGCTGCCAGAAACCATCTGAATGATCAGGTCCCGAGCATCCTGGACCCCTGAGCTGAGCTCTGAGTCTCTCTTTTTCACATGGGTACCGATGAGGAACAAAGCGCGCTCTCCTGCGTCAGACAGGGACAGTGCGTCATGCAGGTCAGTGATGGTGCAGGAACTTGGAAGATCCTGGAACCAAAAGTAAACCAGGAGGTCCAAATGAACTTCAACAAGACCATGAAGCAACTTTAACACTTTCTAACTTTAACAGTTAGTTAACTGAAGAAAAAAAAGTCTGGAGTGTCTCTGGTTGTCTCTCACCTGTTTGTTGGCCAGTACCATTAAAGGCAGGATGGGGTCAAGCCTCAGCACCTCATGTAAATGTTCCTTGGCGACCGGAAACCGCTCAGGGTCTGAGGAGTCGACAGCGAACACCAGCAGCAGAGCTTTGGACAGATACTTCTGCCAATATGGCCGCAGATTCTCTTTACCTCCGACTGAAATACAAACAGATGTTTAACTTCTAACTAATGTCTGGAGAGCAGCTTTATCTCCTTAAGTCACTTTCAGTTATTGTGCCACCTACAGGACACAAAAGGCAAAATATACAATTTAATGTAATTAAGAGGTCAGACATGAATGAGATTAGGGCTGAAAGAATCGAGTTAATCGATTATTGAAATAACCTTCGACTAATTAGTAATCGATTAATCGTTAAGTGGAGAATAGAGACTCTTAAACATGCCTTTAGCTGACAGAGCGACCCACTTAGAGTAGTAATTATATTAAAATTGCAACAACAACAAAAAAAAAAAATATATATATATATATAAACATTTTAGATTTAAGATTAAAAAAAAACATTCATCTGTCAATATGCTTTATCCAGAACTCCTCAAGTGGAAAAGTTTGATTGTGTGAAAAATCTTCTTTAAAGAACCTTTGGCAATCTGATTATTATTTATCAAAAAAATAATAAACAGATTAATCATGTGCACAAAAAGCAAGGATGTAGCAAGTGTGCAAATAAGCAAAACTAATTCTAATGGTTTAATTATCCTTAGAACTGCAATTTAAGTTGTTGGTGGAACATCAGAGGTAAATGTGTCCAGTTATCAGCTTGTGGACCCTGGTATTCCACTGTGACAATCATAACGATGATAAAGACACTGTTCCTAATGATATTCTGAACAAACTGCAATAAAACATCCAAGTAGAGACATTTTACTACTGTTGATAAGAGTAGTATCCATCTTGAATGGTACCATTCTGATGCACCAGCATTCTGACTTTTAGGGGCATTCTGGTTAAAATGTACAACTTGGAAGGTGAAGATTTCAACTGCCGATAATCAATGAATAGACCATTACTTCTCTGGGATAACCTTATAGATGTCAGCAGCCATATTTCTGCAGTGATAAACTGTTGTGTTCTTCCTCCCAACATCGGTTTCTGAATTAGCATCATGCAAAGCATTAATGTCTGTGTCTTTTTTTCAGCATCTATTAATGTCAATCTAAAGTCTAATTCAAATAAAAATAACAACTTTAATGTAATAATTGATATAAAAGAGATGTTGTATTTTTGATATGTATGCAAAAAGTGCGCTTTACTTGCTTTGCTAGGTGAGAGGCGGCACCTGCCGAGTTTGTAAAACAGCTTGTTTTCTAGATCGAACCATTTACTTATTGCCCCAAAATTTCTGGATTTCTTTTTTGTAGAAATTTGACTATTTCTAGATGCAATAGGGACCCAAATGGACGTGAAAAAACTTGCAAAAAGTGAATGTTGTACATTGGTCCCCAGTAGTTATAGTTTAGCCACTCAGAGTGGGACCTGTTAGTGTGCTATAAATCATTGTCCTGCTGCGTTACTCCATGATGTCTGAGATTACGGTCATAAACCGGTGCCTGTTGCTCTTTCGAGAGTCCTCAGGCAGAATTCATGGTTCAATCTGAGCCATCCAGGTCCTGAAGGCACACTAACACCATCATTAATCACTGTTGACATGATCGTCTCTTTCAGAAATACATTAAATTAAAAAAGCTTTTTTTCTTTCATCTTATAATTCCACAGAACATTTTCCAAAAAGTCATACAGGTGAATATGACATTGGCCTTTTGGTTCAGTAGTTCTGGCGTTTGCTCTCTCCCATGGATGCCATTTAGCCTCTCTAGTATTCTTACCTAAATTGCAGCCAGAGAGGTAATTTCTGAGGAATTGGTTTTATTTGGTATGTTCCTGAAAAAGTTCCCCACTCCTGAATGTAGGACTGAAACAATTAACCGGATTAATTGTCTGTTAATCAATTATTAAAATAATCGTAAACTGGAGTATAGAGACTTGAAAACATTGATTTAGCTGACAGAGCAACCCACTTAGAGCAGAAACTATAACAACATTGCAAAAAATTATACAAATATTTTTGTTATTTATGATTTAAAACACTTTTAATCTGCCAGTATGCCCTATTGAGGAAAAAGTTTTAGTTTTACTTGGCTTTGATTCTGTAAAAAATCTTAAGGAACCTTTTGCTATCTGATTATTAATTGAGAAAATAATGGACAGATTAACTGAATAGTAAAATAATCATAAGTTGCAGCACTAGCTGCACGCTGTCTCCATCTGTATGGACGGGTATCTCTCACAGTAGAACGTTAGAGTCCCAGTGCCAGTGTTTCTTTGAACCCATTCTGGATTGATAGATGTCAATGGATTTTATTTCTCATGTGTTCTTAGATTTCCTTATAATGATGTGTTTCTGTCTAAGATTTAACAATGCTCGTCTGGCTGTAATCAGGCCGTGGTGTGGCTTGTAAAAATGAAGTCAGCTATCCAAAGTATGTAACTAAACACAGTTTACGATTTAGAAAGTGAGGCAGCTACTACACAGGACCAGTTTGGAAAGTATTTTCACATCATGAATTATATTTGTTTTTAGCTTAGGTTTTAAAAGATGATTTATACGATTTAAAAATAATTACATTTGAAAGGAAGCAGAAATGCTAAAAGGAAAAACTACTTTTTACAGTACTGCAAAATGTAATGACAGCCTCCAGTCTAGGCACCAATGTTATTATATTTGTTCCCAAAACACTAAACTAATAACACCAATAATAACTTCCACACTAAACGGATCAAACCTCCTCGCTTTCCTCTACAATCATAGAAACCCTCAATAGAAAGAGAAAAAAAATCCTGTGAGAACATCTTAGTGCTATTTTAAATCTTTGCTGCGAGGCAGAGGAGGGAACAAGTTCAGACTTACTTTCTAAAAACTCGATATGCATGTCATCTCTGTTGATGGAGACGGCGTTAAAGCCCTGCGTTGGCTCCACCTCCTGCCCCAGACTGCTGCCAGAAAAACAGTGCAGCAGGCTAGTTTTCCCCGCTCCATCCAGACCCAGAACCAGAACCAGGGTTTTCTCCGACTCCAGAGGACGGGGCTGGAAAACACAACACAGCTGTAAGAAACACTTAGAATGGAAAATATTAACCATAAATTACGCGTGACTGAGTAAACTGTGATCTTGTAAAAGTGGGGAGAGAAACAGGAATAAAAACTGAGCTGAATAATGCAAATTTTTTAGCACTGTGGTTTAATTTTTGGATATTGAACAAAAAAATGAAAAAAACAACAACTGATCAATCAAAAGACTTTTAGACGACTGGTATGTCATACAGCCACCTCAGTCTGGGTATAATTTGGGATTTTCATCCTAATCCTCTCTCCAATATACCCACCATCATATCAAATAGTTACTCTCCACCAAGGAAGTTATGTTTTAGGAGAGTTATTGTGTTTGTCTGTCTGTGTACAGGATAACTTGAAAAATTAGGAACGAGTTTTAATGACATTTTTACCAAAATGTCATCCGCACCTTGCACTTCAGTCCAAGGAACAATCCATTCATTTTTTGTGATGATCCAGATCCACATCTGGATCCAGATTCTTTGAAAACAGTTTTTAAGCTAAGGTGCAAATCACAATATGTTGGGGGAAATGAGCTACTAGGAGGAGGCCTGCACCCTCTCAGTTCTTTTATCAGTTTGGTAATATTAGTATGAAGCTTAATCCACAGTTTTCAGCTCCAGCCAACATGAATTATGATCACAGGCATCAGATGGAAAAAAAAATAATATTTACAATTGCTATTAAAATATATAGCATGTCTATAGCTGTTAATGAGACTGATTCATTTGCACCCCTGGTGCTATGTTATTAAAAAGGTTGCATTTAATTAACTCAAATAGACAAAGAACTTTACAGTGTGTTTTAGTAATTAATCACAAATTAAACAAAGAAAGCAGAAAAGGGGAATGAGGGAAAGAAAAGAGATGGTTTTATACAATAAGATCAAAAAGACAGAAGAGATGTTAACTGGAGGAAGGAGAAACAAGTTAAAAAGATGAATTTTAAGACTTGGATTTAGAGATGAAGGGCTTAAATCCATACTATTCATATAATATGAATAGTATAGATTTAATATATAGACTTTATATACATATTTAGACTTTATATACATATGTTAAAATGGTAAATACTCTATTTGTGTAGAACTTTCCTATGCTTTGCTTTATTCATACAACTACACAAGAACATTTATACATTTATAATACATTATGAGATCACACATTACCAAATTCAAAACAGTGGCATCTTAGCTTCTTTTTAAGAGGCGGAACTGGGTTTAAACAAGCCAAATTAATCTTAAACTGAGCAGTTAGCCCTAGTTTGATCATTTCCTACATTTCCCAGAATGCAACGCACATTATCTGCCAAAGGACGTGCCACAACGAGTTAAATGTTGTTACAAATGTTTAAATAAAAAGTAATTTGAGATTATTAGGAGCGTTTTTGCACAATTGATATATCACTAGGTGATCTAACGTGAATATCTGCTACTTTTCACAGCAATAATCACTTTTACCGTTTCTGTTTTCGGAGCCGCGGCGGGAACAACAGCTTCTTCTACCGGAGCGTTTCTTTCCCTCTCCACCTCCTCCTCCTCCTTCGTGCTGCTTTTATCATCCTCTCCATGTTGTGTTTCTGTTTTCTTCTGCTTGGAGGATGAAGCGCGGTTCCAGAGGAGATAAGCGACTCCGCCGCCAATAACTGCCGACGCACTCAGGACCGCTGCCCTCAAACCGACCATGGTGCTCAGACTGCGGGCTTAGCTGCTACATGCGCACCGGTTACACTGTGATTCAGACATAATCAGAGTTTTAACGAAACACGACGCTCTTCTATGCTACTCAATGCGACATTTCCCTCAACAAGTGGATTAAGTCACAGGAAGCTCCGGAGGAACTACTCCATGCTACATATCCGGATGAAGTT